GATGAAAAAAGTCAAAAAAGATTATTTTCACACTGATGTTATAGCTATAGTTCAATAAGTAAAATATCATTAAAAAAAAATAAGTCAATGAAAATTGAATAGAAGAATTGATATTAGCAGCATACTAAATAAATTTATTCTAGTGAAGATTGATGCATTTGAAGTTGTTGATTGAGTACCTTCTGGATTTGTAGTTGCTGACTGAGTCACAGATGGTTGTGAACTTGTGGTGGATATTGGATAAAATGGACTTAAATCACCTGGTGTTGCAGTTAATTGAGATCTCAACTGAAATATATAATAATTCTTGATTAGATTCTATTTGAATATATATCTAAATGACTCACTTCTTTAAATAGTTCTGGGCGTGAACAATCATCAGCACGACAAAAAATGTCAGTTTCCCATAAGTCAATAATAAATGGTTGTTTACTAAAATACAATATACCCTCGATTTCTACTCGAGGTGTATCGTAGTCAAAGCTTTGATCAGTCGACGGGGCACAATATGAACGATAACATAGTAGATTATTTTCCGGATCATCAACTGTATCCAAAACAACACATGTAGTATTACATGAACGAATTGGACATCGACTAGCATCAATAAAATCAGTTGTACCACATTGTGCAGCATTAGGACACTCATGACAGTCACGTACTGGTTGTCCAGTACCTAGAATATTTGCATTCAACCATGATTCTGGAAGACGCATTTCAAATGAACTTGGAAGGTATTGTACAAGATTAGGATGATTACATAAATCCCAATCACATCCATAAATAGCAAAATTGGGCACTGTATTCCATTGTCCTGTTTGGCCATTGTAAAAGATTGATTCTTCAACGATTATATAAGGAAAATCACGAATATGAACGAAAGTTGACTCTTGATCAAGATGTCCCATAATGGTCCAATGATCTGGACCAAAGTTTTCGCGCATGAGTATACAATAAGTTGAGTTGGCACTCTGCATCGTAATTTTATTGCAATTACAATTCACTTCATTAAAGCAAGAACAATCATAACATCGTCTTTGTGGTATAGTTGGATCATGTGTTTCA